ACCAAATGAACCAGAACACTGCTTTCCATGGAATTAATTACATGTGTTCTTTCTCGCATTAAAGGAAGCACACTGGTCAATGCTATTATGAGGCTCTCTTCACCCAGAGAAAAAAGTCCAGGGACCAGAAATAAAAGTCAGCTCGATGACCCAGAGTTTGGAAATGTGTCAGAAAATTACAAATACACAATCTTTTCAGAGGAACACAAGCTTCAATCAAACTTCTAGGAAAAGGTTTCATGTCCTGATGGATTAAAAAAAAGGTTACCAGTAGCGGTACCTCAGCTGTCCCCAGGGTCCCCTATACTAGGCTGGTTAGGAGATAAACTTTTATGCCATCTAATTTACATAATAGAATTACAAGTCTGGTTCTTCAGTTTAGTTATTGTTTCCTTTAAAATGCTTCATTAAATTTTGTTATCTTAAATGCAGAGTTTAAGTTAAGCAAGCAGAAAAAAATATGAGATATATTTACAAAAGCAGTCTAAAAGTTATTCCTTATTGTGAGATACTGACTACAAAACTTGTACACTGACAACTCAGCTACGTGATTAGCTTATGGGGGCAGCTGCACTCATGAAATAGTCACCATGCAGATGCTTCTCTCAAGTACCTCACATACCAAACCTTTGGTAACAGATTGCAAACAAAAAACTGAACACAAGAAGTGATACCCAAAATATTTTGTGATTGAAAATATTGTTGCAAAGGCAAGAGAAGCTAATAAGGTTATATGTCCACAGATGTACAGTTATATGCCAACTTCTCTTTAACAACAGGCTAAGAGGCTTCTGCAGCAATTCTTTCTTGTCAGCTGGAGCTGTTCTTTGCTGGTGGCTGTGCTGTTGCACATGGGGCCACTGATAACAGGAAATGTATGTTTATGAAAATTCAGAATTTTAGAAGCACGTAATGTACTTAGGTGGGGGGAAGAAAACAGAAATATGTATATACATTATTTAACAAGTTTGTAAAAACAAGAACAAAGCTTGTAACAGGAATGCAACTTGTTAGGTAGAAACAACTTGTAACAGAACACAAAAGAATATAGCTGCTAGGTAAAGGCCACAAAGACAAGAAAACTCAGTAAAGCAAGATTCAGGTATTGTTGAAACCCATAAAGCAGAACCCAAACCAGCCAGGACCAGGCTCCTGGTTTTGACCAGGACAACTGACCTGGGAGAAAGCCAAACCTCCACTGCACTTGTCCAGAAGAAGTCAAGCAGCAAACACGGAGGATCTTACTTTATCAAGAAGACCCCTGCCCAAGACCCCCAGGGGGCATGGCAACACAGAAGACTAATTATAACATAAAGTGCAAGGAGGTAGCGTGGGCAGGAATGGAGGTGTGGGCTTGGGAGATCAATGTGTATTTAAACCTGAAACCAATCTCACCAAGTACGCATGTATGGAGGAAATATCCCCACATCTCCCACCTGGTAATAACATACCTACTCTACAATTTTAATTGTAAAGTCCTTACTCATCTACTCACCACTAACATGATTAGAAGAATAGAACAACTCTCCTACGACAAAAAGCTGAAAGAATTTATTTTTACATAAATATTAATAGCCAAATAAAGGGTAAGACCGACCTTTGTTCTCTATTGGATGTAGGAAGAAACTTAGTAACCACAGATGAGGAAAAGGCAGAAGTGCTTAATGCCTTCTTTGCCTCAGTGTTTAGTGGGAAGACTGCTCGTCCTCTGGACAACTGTCCTCCTGGGTTGGTAGATGGTGTCAGGGAGCAGAATGATCCCCCAGCTATCCAGGAGGCCATCAGAGAACTGCTGGGACACTTGGATGTTCATAAATCTACGGGTCCAGATAGGATCCACCCCAGGGTGATGAGGGAACTGGCAGATAAATTTCCAAAGCTGCTCTCCATCCTTTACCAACAGTGTCAGCTCACTGGTGAGGTTCCAGATGACTGGAAGCTGGCCAATGTGACACCCATTTACAAACAAGATGGGAAGAAAAATTCTGGCAATTATAGGCCAGTTAGTCTGATTTCAGTACCCAGTAAGGTAATGGAACAATTTGCGCATCACATTGAGCAGCATCACACAGCACTTACAGGACGGCCAGGGTATCAAGCAAGGGTTTAGGAGGGGAAGATCATGTTTGACCAACCTGATCTCTTTTTATGACCAGGTGACCCTCCTGGTGAATGTGGGAAAGGCTGTGGATATTGTGTACCCCGACTCCAGCAAGACCTTTGGCACTGTCTCCCACAGCATTCCCTGGGGAAGCTGCAGCCCAGGGCTGGGACAGGAGCACTCTGTGCTGGGTTCAGAACTGGCTGCATGGCCGGCCCAGAGAGCGCTGCTGAGCGCTGCTGCATCCAGCTGGGGCCAGGCACCAGGGGTGTCCCTCAGGGCTCTGTGCTGGGGCCAGCTCTGTTCAGTGTTTGCATTGAGGACATGGATGAGGGGATTGAGTCATTAGTAAATCTGCAGGTGACACCAAGCTGGGAGCAGTGTCCATCTGTTGGAGAATGGGAGGGCTCTGCAAAGGGCTCTGCACAGGCTGGATGAATGGGCTTAGTCCAGCAACAGGAAGTTTAACAAGTCCAAGTGCCCAGTCCTGCATTTCGGCCACAACAGCCCCTGCAGTGCTCTGGGCTGGGGACGGTGTGGCTGCACAGTGCCCAGGCACAAAGGGACCTGGGGGTGCTGCTCAACAGTGACTGAACGTGAGCCAGCAGTGTGCCCTGGTGGCCAAGAAGGCCAATGGCTCCTGGCCTGGATCAGGAATGGGGTGGCCAGCAGGAGCAGGGAGCTCATTCTTCCCCTGCCCTTGGCACTGCTGAGGGCACACCTCGAGTGCTGTGCCCAGCTCTGGCCCCTCAGTTTGGGAAGGACGTTGAGAGGCTCGAGCACGTCCAGAGGAGGCAACGAGGCTGGAGAGGGGCTGGGAACACAAACCCTGTGAGGAACCACTGAGGGAGCTGGGGGTGCTCAGCCTGGAGAAAAGGAGACTCAGGGGTGACCTTAGCACTCTCTACAGCTCCCTGAAAGGTGGCTGTGCTCAGCTGGGGCTGGGCTCTTTCTCCAGGCAGCACTGACAGAACCAGAGGACACAGTCTCAAGCTGCGCCAGGAGAAATCTAAGTCAGATACTAGAAAAACTTTTTTACAAAAAGGGAAATAAAGTACTGGAATGGTCTGTCCAGGGATGTGGTGGAGTCACAATCCCTGGATGTGTTTAACCAAGCCTGGATGTGGCACTAGGTGCCAGGGTTTAGAGGTGCTGGGGCATGAGTTAAACTCTCTAGTCTTGAAGGTCTATTCCAACCTTGTGATTCTGTCATTGGGATTGTTCAGCCTGGAGGAAAGAAAGCCTCAAGATGACCTAATTGTGGCCTTCCAGAACCTGGAGGTAGCCTACAAAAGACCTGGACAGGGAATTTGAACCAAGGGCCTGGAGAGACAGGACCAGGGAGAAGGGCTTCCCACTAACAGAGGCCAGGGTTAGACTGGATATTTTGAGAATGATAATGCCTATATAAACAGCTGGAGTTATAAAATATCAACACAACGTAATATATCTATATAACCTGATGTCAATACAACCTGAATCATGGCTTCCTATACCTATATAACCTGATACCAATAGCCTTCTATACAGTGCAATGGCTAGTAAATAGATAACTGGTTGCTTAACAATGAATAGACAAAAAAGAAGAAAAAACTCACTATGCAACTATCTTTATAGATATACAAGAACAGTACTAACGAACAATTGCCCAATGTAAAGACAATTAGTCACAAAACAAAGAATTTAGGACCAGACAGACCAAAGAACACCATAACTGTACATGCTCCAAAGACAAAGTTGAAAAGTTCAGGTGCAAAGAAGACCTTGGAAGCCTTCATCAAAGACCCCTTATGAAAAATGTTTTTGTGATTCCTGTCAATTGGCAATGGAATCAGTAAATGCTTGTATCTGCTGTGTCAAAAGCCGACAGGATTCCTGGGACAACTACAAAGAAGTTTTGAAATTTTCTGACTGAATAGCCAAATAATGCATCAAACAAGAAAACAGCATAAGTATAGTAAAGAAATGATGTAGCGAAACGACTCATGCTTAGAATAAAACAGAGGAAGTTGTGGTACAGCTAAAGGATATTGCAACATAGCGACTAAATGCTTATGTATAAAAAAAAGCTCGATACGCTTGTACCAGACTAAAATTATGTAGCAGACACTAGTGAAAGGTCTCCCTCCAGACAACCACAAGAAGGACAGGAAGCCAATGACCACCTAGAAAGATGAAATTTCTGATCCCAGATTATTGATATTTACTGATTCCAACTAACACAAGCATACTGGAAAATGCTTTGTAGGCTTAAAAACCATATATATATATACTCTGTGACCTTGTAGTGGCATGTGCCATTAGTGGAGTGGCGACTCTCTGGCCACCCAGCAGTGCTTGCTTGCTTTCTTTAAAATAAAAAATGTTAAAATAAAATTTGGTTTGGCTACCAAAATTTTATATCACCCCGACGACCCCCGAATTGAGGAGACGCATGCGTAGTACAAAAGAACTACCTAACAACCACAGGCTCATACTATGCAAATTCCTTCCACATATCATGTTGTTATGTTAGTAACACTAAGCAATACTTACTGTACAAATATACCACAGCGGTTGACAAGGGTGGGTGAGTTAGGCAGAGATATCCTCCTCACCACCACCAGGCCGGGCCAGGCGCCACCACCGCCATTTACAGCCCTCGCTCCGCCCCTTCCCTTCCGCGCCCGACGGCCGCCGCCACGCGCAGGGCTCGGGCATGCGCGCGCCGCCCCGCCAGCCAATGGGAGGCGGCGGCGCGGCGGCAGCGCCCCCTCCTGGCCGCGGCGGAGCGAGCGCACCGCGCCGAGGGAGCGGCGCGAGCCGCGGCCCCGACCGCCGAGCCCCCCTCAGCCTCCGGGACCGCGCGTCACCTTCCGTCCGCCCCGAGCCCCAGCCCCGAGCCCGCCCTCCCACTCACCCGCGCCGGGCGCAGGTAACGCGGTCCTCTGGCTGGAGACGCCGCACGGCGACGGGAGGAGCGCCGGGGCAGCGGAGGTTTTTCCGCGGGCTCTCGGCGCTGCTGAATGGCCCCGCTCCTCACGCGCGGTTTCGGGCCGACCCCAGCGCCGCGCCGGGCGGGCGATGATTCGCTCGCGCAGCCGCGGCGGCGCAGGCGCTCGCGGGGGCCGCCGGGAGACGCAGTCTCCGGGCCGGAGCCCCCGCCGGGCACGCCCACCGCGCCCCGCCTGGGCCCGCGGCCGGAGCCGCGAGGGGCCCGCGGCCTCGGCACAAGCCCCTGTTCGCTGAGATAGGCCACGCTGAACGCCCAGAACCGCTCGCCAGAAACAACCATGGGAGCAACTGCGTCCACCAGCAAAAGCCTTACTTATGGTTAATCGTGACCTTCACAGCAAAACAGTCTTTTATTTCGTTTTCAAGGACGTTAAACATAGTGAATGCTATCTATGAGATATTTTTTCCTGACCAAAAAGAGTCGAATGTTTTGTCTGACATCACTATTCCTTTTCTTTGAATTTAGGTTCAATGTAGTAAATGTGGATGGAAAGTTTTCCATTCAAAGCAAAATGCTACATGTCAAAATTTGATCCAAATCGAAAGTACTCCAGTTAAAACCAAGAGATTTTAAATCTACCAGGTTCATAAATAACGTTTTTACAGTGTGTAGACTCCCAAAATTACTGATGTATTTTCAAAATGTTCACTGTGTGTTTTAGAATTGGTCAAGAGTAACCACCAAACACTACATCTTTAAGTAAATCTCATTTGTAAAGAAATTAAAGCATTTTGCTTCCTCCTAGTAATAAATAGCAAGAAATCCATCTGGGGAATAAAGCTGAGAAGCTGGGAAAGGGCCCTGTAGGATATGCTTTGGCCATTCTTGTACCATCACTGAAGGCTGTGGACTTGTGCGAAGCAAATGCGCAGCTGCAAACACTGACCAGAGTACCCTAAACAGCTGATCTGAGTGATTTAAGCGATCATGGTTTTTGTGGTTCCTTGTCACTGTTCTGTTGGACGTTAACTGTCGTCATCATTTACACTATGGGAGACAGAAGCATTCTGCAGCAGCCTAGAAACACAAATCCCAAGCCCCAACCACTAAAACACTTCAAAACCTTAAAAAGGTTAGAAATCATCGCCACCTTAACTGAAACTGCAGTACTTGGATGGTTCATTTTTGCAGACCCTGTAGCTGCTGGGGAAGAACTTCAGCACAAACACCAAACCTTTCTAAGCAGCCACAACTATTTACTATATCAATTTGTCAGTTCCTTTGCTGTTTAGATGGCATTTTCAGTAGAAGGCATTTGTAACTTCATGCTCCACTATATTTTCATGCTCGCACCTTCCAGTTGCACCTTACTGCACACACAGCTGATACTGACCATTTCATACAGATTTACATGTCATAAGTACACCCTGCTCGAAAGTTACTCAAGGAAATCCTTCTGGAAGACAAGAGGAGTTTACTTGCCTATGAAATGGAAGCCCACTGCCAGGACATTATTCACAGGCTGTGTCCAGACTGTTGCCCTTCAGGCATGGATTGTTCTGGGGGCGGAGAAGATGCCTTTTGATTACAAATCACAATCATTGTTCATCTTGAGAGTTGTATGTACCAGCTGCTTCCTGCAGGTAAGACCATTATTACTATGACATGGGTCCTCCGAAGAGTGAAAATTTGGTATTTCTCCAGGTCAAGATTCTTCTTTCTCACTGTTCTGTATGCCTCTGTGTGAGTCAACACATAGAAGTAACCAAGAATAACCATCAAACCACAGCTGAAATGCGGAGTAGATTTATTTCATTACCCTGATAATAACACCTTGCGGAAGACACATGGGGACACAGGGTCTATTTGGCTTAGTTCATTCTAGCAGACCATTGCGGGGGGTGCTAACTGCCTGCCTCACTGAAACAAAAGGGTTTACGTGTTTTTGACAAAGCAGAGAATAGGCAACATTAAGCGTAATAAATGGAGTTTTCTGACACCAACATTTCTCATATTCCCAGCTGCAAAATCACTTTGATCAAAACTATTCTCCTCACCAATCCTTCCAGTTATTACTCTTTCCTCCCAACACATTCTCTATAACCTCCTCCAGCCATGTGAGCTATGAAGCTGGATAAAGTTCACTGAAGTCATAGAGTTAAGTCACGCACTATGTGGAATAGTGTTTATCCAGCATGATTGCAAGATGACTAACTGAAAAAATAGTTTTCTAAGACCTCTAAATCTATCAGAAATATTTGCTGTTTGCTGTAAATCAATGTTCAGACTAGAAGTAACTTACATGTTTTTAGCAGATGGAGTAATTAACAAGTGTAATATATTACCATAACAATTGCTGCATCAGTTCAGAGCCTGGAAATTAAGAACTTCCTTCTAGAAAAGATGTTCAGTGTAATACACAGCCTCCATGGAGTTTTGCTGTCAGATTCTTGAACCAAATATAATATATATAAAACACCTGACTAATTAATCTTAGTATTCTTTCTAGATTTAAAATTCAAGAACAAGCTTTCTGGAAAAAAAAAAAATCTAAATTCCTTGGTTTAAAGTATTTAGAATCACTTTGCTTTTCTACTTCTACTAGTTAACTAGCTGGGCTTCAACAACAGGTTGAAAGAAGTTTTCATGTCACTGGCTTGTTTACTGTAGCTTTTCTAGAAGAAGAGGAAAACATTTTAAAATAATTTACCTTGTGCCAGAGGGATACAGTGACAATAAATGCGCATTTTTTCCAAAGTTCACAAATAAAACCCCTCAACTTAACATGCTATCCAAAACTGCAGACACTAGTAATATGTCATAATATGTAATAAGAAGGCACAACTTCTTCAAGCTAAAAAAGAAGCTGCCACTTTAAAAATCCGGCAAATTTGTGTGGTGATATGCTTCAAAGAGCATACTGGTTAACAAGGACATTAAAATCATTCTTGGCTGCTGAGTAATTATTCATGTCTCTGAACAGTTGCTGCTGTAATGGATATGATTCGTGCTAACTAAATTGTAACTATATATATATAAAATAAAGGAAAAATACATGTGATTACTGTTACAAAGCAGATGGGCCCCTTTGCAGATGTGACATGAAAAACAGGGTACATGATGTAGTATTGAGGTAAGCAAGATCCCAAAACAAAATTGGCCTTGGAATGAACAAAGTTGGGACAATTCCAGAAAACAGAATCTACCTTGGGATGATTTCAGGTATATGCTTGATAAGATTTAACATATGTGATTGTATTTCATTTATATAAAAAATTGCTTCTCAATTAAAATTTGTCATGGTTTGACCAGGAAGTGAGGTTTTGGGAAAGTTATAGTCAAACCAATCAGTGGCCAGATTTTAAACTGGCACTTGGTGTGGCCACTGGGGACTTGGATACGCTTCTGAGAACACACAGGGGTTAAAAGCAGAGCATTCCTAGAGAGACTTCCTCTTTGGAGTCCGGCAGGTGAGCGGATCTGATCTCCTCCCCTGCCCAGCTGTGTCTGGGTGGAGGAGGGGGAGGCCATTCAGCCTGAGAAAGGGAAGCCAGAGCCCTGCAAGATGCAGGGGTGGAGGAGTCCTGGGATGTTTTGGGCAGCCCCCCCACGACAGAGAATGATAAAGAGACTGTGCTGGCTGGAAATTTGTTATCATGTGCTGGCACCACAGTCAGGAGGAGAAGGGAGGGGGGAGGGGGCAAGGTGCCCAGCCGCTGGCAGACCAGGCTGAGCTTTTAACTCTTTTAGTGTTGAAACAATGGAAGCTGTAAAAACACTGATCCTCCTCAGCTGAGAACTGAGAGGGGACAGAGGAGTGTGTGTATTTTTCCTTCCTTTTTGTGTCTATGTGAATTAATAAAGTGTTAGTTTTTTTTCCCCTCCATTCCCAAGTTAAAACCTACTTTGTTCTGTTCCTGAATCACATCTCACAGTAACCATTTTAAAAAATACACCTTTCATGAAAACACTGGCACTGTGCCAGAGTCAATCCATGACAAAATTGCTGCTCAATTCAGTTTTGTTGTTTATTAAATTAGACATATAGACCTTCCTAACACTGCCATTGAGTTGAAGTGAGTGAGAAAACAGAAACCGTGAGATGGATCAAAAGGGAAAAGAGCAAAGCATGTATTGGGTTGTAAAGTAGATTGATGATAAATCTAGGGGTGGAGGTTTGGTGTATGTCATTGTTGTATGTAGAAGTGTCTTGAATGCAATTTTGTTAATATGTTGGAATGAAATGTGTGCTCTCAGACTAACACTGCCATTGTGGGCTTGTACAGACACTGTTGCAGCAGTTTGTGATTAACAAATTTTCCTCCAGCCACACCAGCCAGGGACCAAGCGTCTCTAAAATGAAAGCCAAAAGGGTTGTACACAAGCTGGCAGAGCAAGAGAGGTCCCAGCCACCACCAGGCTTAGATGGCCCTGCAGAGGGTCCTAGGCATCAGACAGAGAAACGAGAACAAATAGAGTGCCCAAATATCAAATTTAATAATGGAAAATAAGAGGGACACTAACCATCAATGCCCAACAAAACACAAGCCTTACATTGTATAGAGCTGCTCCAGAAGACCTCGAAAGGCGGCAAACGCACTCTTATATAGACATTATCTGAGGGCAGGAAACCAATGAACAGAGAGAATCAGAAACAATACCTTATATGGAACACAAGCTTACCCAATCAGAGGGTGGGGTTCAGAACATAACCTTATATGGAATGGCTTAATCTTCATAACTGTTCCTATCATTCTTCTCTTCTCACCCTAATTTTACTAGATGTTTCCTGTCTTTACTTCTCGCCTCCCATGGCCTAATATTGTTACCCTGTGTGGCCAGCCCACAGCCCGTCCTTTCCAGGATGGACTGCCGCATCTCCCCCCTTTAGTTTTTCTTTAAAAAAATTTAAAAGATCTCAAGGTCTTCTATAGTAGCTTTCGGCAAACAACTTAAATTTAACAAGGCTAGCATTAATAACTCTTCTAACAAAATCTCATCTTGGTATAATTTAGTCGAGTAAATAAAATTTTTAACAGGCAATCTAACATAAACACAATCTCTACTATAACCTCCATTAACAATTCCATTTTAATCAACAAGAACAGTTGCTTTAGCAAACCGTGAACTTTTAAACTGTTTTACCTGA